GTTTAATAATGTTATTAATGTTATTTTTAAAAATAAGTTAGTAGTTGAGTATTTTTAAATGGAAGACTTAACAAAAAGGGAAAAGGATATTATCCTAAATCGGTCTAAAAATGTTGTATATTCCAAAATATGACTAACATGTTTTTATTCCTAAAATATGACTAATTATTGTCATGTTTTGGCAGTACCAGACTTTAAACATGACAATATTTTTCAAATTTGACATTAATTACTCATATTTTGGGAATACAAATATGACAGTCCCATTTTGGAAATTTTCAATCTTTTTTACTCTTATTTCAGGAATTTTCCCAAAGGAAAAATATAGGAAAAAAATACATTCCAAAACGAAAAGTGTAACAAATAAGCAAACAAAGGAATATGGAGGAAGTATAATTTTTCTATGAATTTATTAATAAAATATATATTAAATATACTTTTAATAATTTAGCAACTCAACTAATTCAACTGTTTCAACCAGAATTTCAACACATGTAATCGCTTTAGCTAGTTTAGTGTTATTAAACAGGTTTGAAATATAAATAAAATTATGAATAGGTATGAGACGAGCCAAAGCGGAAAATCGATCCAGCTCATTGATGGCCAACTCACTCTCTCATACATGATGTGTCGGGTTTGTAACTACATATAAACAATTTCAGTCACATTTACCTCAGCTCCTCCCCCTAGATCCCCTGAGATAGAAAAAATGGGACAAACCAAAGAACATTGAACATATTATTAAGAAAAAACGATTGTGTACACACTTCACTGTTGTACACACTTTGATAGACGTATGTGAAAGCTTCTTTTTGTCTATAACAGACAAAACATGTTGTAAAAGTGTGTTTTGGCCATGACCCTTGAGACACTTTTACACATGTTTGTTTTGTCTGACACAAATAAAAAACATTCACAAACGTGTGTGAAAGTGTGTACAACAAAAATTGTTGTACTATTTGTCACACTCCGGGTCTATTCGGACACGTCAACAAATGTCGTACAATACGGTCAAGTCAACTGCTGTCATTCCGGTCAAGCTTACTCAAATCATACAAGGCATCATGATGGAACACCTCCCTAGGTGGGGGTGGTGCCGGGGAATACATCACTAATTTATTAAAATAAAGTTTTGAGTACAAGAAATTGAAATTACATATGATGGAACATAAGAAAAATGAAAGGAAATACAAAGTTACATCAACAATTGAATTTTTGTGAGGGGGTTCCAATTGAAGCTGAAAGTGGTCTATTTTATCTGTTATGAAACTTGATGGCCCTCTGGAGACAAGGCATGTATCTCGTTTCCTCTGGATGAGTCAATTTGAAGCGTTGAAGAGCTGCTCCTATTTTGTGTGGTGAGTCGAACCTTTCATCACAAAAAGTTTATCCATAAACAACCATAACAAGTAATTCAATACGCTGCGGAAAGTAATAAGATTAAAACCAAATGCCACACGGGGCAAACATGAGCATGCAGGTTCCAAATTAAAAAGATGTCCATGATCAGGTTTATTATAGTTTGAAAACAAGATGGAGGAAGCACAAACCACGTCTCTTCTCCAAACGATCACCCGAGCAATGAGTACATGAAACAAGCTCTAGCTTTCTACCTGAAACTGTGAGATGGCCTCCCCTCAAGGGGAGGCCAGTACTTTGAAGCATTTGAAAAGTACAATAACAATTATACTACATATAATCAATGTTTCAATCCTTAAGACCATCAACACAGGGTGATATCATATTCTAGATCGTAACCTCAAGTTACTCCGTTGAAAACGTAATGACATATAATTTCAAATGGTCAACCTGTGGGCCCATTGATTTGTAAATCATTTTCAAATACAACCCATATGTTCATTTAAGCTCAATAGAGTCAATCATCATGTGGGTCAGCTCTTGCTCCGGAAACTCCTTAAAGACTTTGGGGGGCAAGACCCGGCTGTCCCAAAAAACTAACAATTATTACAGTGCCCGTCATTGCTTATCCAATAACTCACGGGTTCTTGGTCCAATGTCCGTCCACCCCGCCCCTAGACTAGTACCCAATGTCCTGTAGGAAGGTAGCTTTTATCGGGGTCATTGGGCCGGAGTTCATTCCTTACACGTGATCACGTCCGCAAGTCCATGCTTATCCAGTGACGCTCTCTAGAGTCGCCCTGGTCCATGGCCCATACCTCTAACCTTAAGTCCATGCTTATCCAACACCGCTCTTTAGACATGGGTTAGTCCATAGTCCTTGTCCTAACCTGAGAAATCCATGTTTATCCAACACCGTTCCTTAGACACAGGTTAGGCCATGGTCCTTGTTCTAACATTTAAGATATTGAGATAACAAAGGATTTCTATTGAACTACATCATTCAATCTATCTTTAAGATCAATACAAGCAAGAATCAAAACAACCTAGAGTTAGTATCTTGTTACTACTTGGGTTGTTCATATTAAGTTCAAATATCCATTTCATGTATGATTCAACCTCTTTAGAAATCCTTTCAGCCATACCCCTGAACATTTTATTAGGTACAATATTTGTTTCAAAATCCATATACTCCATACATGAACTAGAATTTCATGTTTCAACACAAAAGTTCACAATTAGTCAAACTAGCACCATATCTTAAGTATAACACTATTTTGGGATCCAAATTATTACCTTGATGTTTATTTATTCTCTTTGGGGATGTATACTCCTCCCATTCTCAAGAATCGCACCTCGTATGAAAGCTCTCTTCAAGAGCTTTCCAAAGACACCTCAACCAACTAGATTGGATTAGGGATTCTCAAGATATGGGGTGAGGAAAGTCAACACTCGCAACTAGGCGAAGCAGTGTGCAGTGTTTATACCAAAATAAACTAATCTAAAATATATATGAAATTGGATCGGGAATCAAGCAAATAAGATCGACTATGGAAGAATTGATAAAGAACGTAAATTAATATATAATGATGAAGGAGAAGGCTCTTTTTAGTATCCTCCTCAATTTCAATTTAAAGCTTGAATATTTGAGTATTCATAACTGCTCGTACGTATGTGAGTACTCTCAGATCACATGGAGCTTGTAACTATTTATAAGAGAGGTATTTAATGCACTTTTGTCCGTTGTTGACGGTTTCGACCGTTACGACGACATCAAAATCGTCATTATGTCATCATCAATTCTGGTAAGCCATTTGAGTAACCTACGCCTTACTTACAATAATAACTCTAATTATATACATAAAACCGCTCAGATGAATCAACTGGCATTAATCCTAATAAATGCGTCATTAATTGCCATGGTTAAGTCTTTTTGAATGTAGTCCAAGCCGTCAAATATGTGTACCAACACACAACTTGTCATCCTTGTTGTTCTATTTGTTTGTGTGAGCTCCTTTTCTCTCCAGGACTTGAAGCTCGTATGAAGTGTATTTTCAGAGCTCCAAGAAGTCACCTTCCTCTCTCTAATCGAACTCTTGGTGCTCAAATGATAGGAGGGGCATCACAGCTTGCAAAGGTACCATTACTAGTACAAACGAGGATCCCAAGTTTGTCTTTTCTATTATGTGCAGCCCCCTTTCCATGTGTCCATCCTAATAATATTTCTAACCTATTTCCTCTTATTTTCCAGGTGATAAGGTAGTGTGAGAGGCCCCCACTGGTCCCAAATTACTTTGGGGGGAAGATATCTATCAATACTTCTAGGAATAGAAAGATGAGTCCTAATGTGTTTGTCTTTTTGTCATGTGTAGTTCTTTCTTGTACTTATTCAAAATATCCAGCCAAATCCAACCGTATACATCATATTATTTGATCTCTAATATGTGTAGGATGATCCCAATAATTCATATGGTGTACAATTATAGGAGAAGAATTTTACTCCCTTAATTTAGCTAAAAAACGACAAAGTGGACCATATGGTTTTTCCCTCACCCCTTGTCCATATATATATATATATATATATATATATATATATATATATATAGACACACACACACATCAATAATGTTAGCCCCTATATTATTTATTTGGAGGCCAGGACGCGTGTGGCACTACCCCAAATGGGTCTAGGGAATCCCTCCCCAATATTTCTTACTTTTTTGGTAAGTTGGGCCCAAATACGTTTTTGGGTTGCCCAACGTTTCTCATTTGGTTCAAATGACTTATGAATCTTGCTATTTATTATATTGGGCCCCTATAACTTATAAGATAACCCAATTTAGTATTTCTTAGTCCGTCCATATAACACGAGCCCGGTTAATAGTTTAATGAATCATTTATTAATTAAATCCTTGATCATTTTACTCATGATTGATAATAGGCAATTCAAATGTATCAATTGGATTTTTAAACCAAATTTTGTAAGTGCATCCGCTTGCGGTGTCACACTACCTCCATCTTAAACTCATTTGCAAAATTGACTTTTCTTGATCAAATAGTTTCACTTTATACACTTAGTTAGGATGTCAATTTTTAATTATATTCTAATTTGGAGTCTGATACTGTGAAGAGATTTTAATGTGACTTCTGAATATATAAATTATACTACCTCCATCCAACTGACAATGGGATAAGAGAGAGTAACACGCAAAATAATAAAAAGTGGTTTATGTGATTGATATTGAATTGATAAAATAAGAATAAAGTAAAAATGCTTTAGAATCACACAAATTTATCAAATGGAAGGAAGTAAGTAATAATTAAAATTAAATTATTAATTGGAAGTATTTAAGTTTTATACTCGGTATTGATTAACAAAAAAATATTAACATTGCAACTTGCAAGGGATAGACACTAACCTTTAAATATTAACGTAAAATGGACCTTTTTGTTTTTTTGAGAAACGTAAAATGGACCTCGGGACTAAGAGAAACCGGATTTTATGGAGCCGTTACAACTTACAAGGGCATATTCGTAAAATTAGTACTGCGCCTTATTGTTGCTCTAATAATTGGACGCCACGTTGATACTTGAATTATATGTTCAAATTCATGCTTAACGGGTTTTATCAGCAAGTGTCAAAGAGATTAAATTTACCAAGTTACTTATACTCACTAGGGAGGGGAGGGAGTACTATGAGAAAGGCACATCAATTCCGAGTATAATAATAAGAATGAATTAACGCCAGAAAGAGAACGGGCCTATCCATGCGTTCAGCTCCCAAACAAACAGAACATTAGAATTCCATTGACATAAAGAGAGGGCTACGGCAAATGCAGGGTACTACTTCGGTTGCACTATTATCAAGTACTTTGATAAAAGTTTGATTAAAGCAAAAAATTGATGGGATGGTTTTGGTTCGGGTTTGCATTAAAAGGTGAAGTTAAATGCTCGGGTAGTGGGTTCAAATCCCAGACCCGAATATCACTTGTTTCACTCGCTTCCCTTTTTGCATTGATTTTGTAAACCTAATAAAGATTTGATTTTTTTTTTCTGTTTATTTGGTATATTTATTGCGGTTTCAATTGCCACCTATCTTTTGTTTCATTTTTAGCTTTTATTTTCAAAAAATATACTTTGGACCTTTTTGTGATGCATAGTAGATGGTGATGTCTTCTTCTTTAAAGTTTTTTTAGTGAAGCTGTAAGCAAATGGGCGGAGCGAGCTCAAAAGGCGAGAGAAGTGAAGCTTTGAGGCTGTGTAAGGAGAGAAAGAGGTTTATAAAAGAAGCTATCGACTCCAGATATGCATTAGCAGCTGGCCATGTCTCCTATGTTCAATCTCTAAGAAACATAGGCATTGGTCTTAGGAGGTACGCAGAGGCAGAGTTGTTGATTGAGAATCCCTCAAATTTCTCATACCCTTCGCCCCCCCAGTCCCATGCTGAAGGTGGGGCTTCAGATTCTTCTCCAGCTCTCAACAATGGAAGCCCCGTTTCACCCCTCACAGCCAGGTTAAGCTTCATGACTTCAGGTGGAACTGAACCTGTCACTGTTAAGGTGGCCCAGCCACTTAGCAATGTGAAAGTTGATGAAGATAGTGGCAACCGAGGCGGCCCTTCATGGGATTTCTTTGACCCCATTGATGAACTTTCTGGAAGCTTTCGGTTCGCGGTGGGTAATGATGGCCCGAATGTTGGGGGAGATGTGGTTGAAGAAGAATTCTTGACACCTAGTTCATCCCATCCCGTAACACCCCAGGGGACGAAGACCAGTAGTCAGCGTGGCTTTGGAAGTGATGCTAAGGACATGAGCAGTAGCAGCCAAGTAAAGGGAGAGTCAGGTTTGGTAGGGAAAGATGGGTTATCCACAGAAAGAGAGGACCCTTCAGAGTTCATAACACATAGGGCTAAGGATTTTCTCTCTAGTGTGAAGGACATTGAACACCTTTTCTTTAAAGCATCAGAATCTGGTAAAGAAGTTTCCAGGATGCTTGAGGCTAGCAAAATCCATGTTGGGTACTCACTTGCTAAAGGTATGTTACAGCTTCATGGAAGAAACTGTATTTTACTTTAGGCCCTTTTTTGTTCTTTCTAAAATGTGCTTGCGTTTGAAATATGACATTAATGTATTCTCTTTTCAGGAAAATTGTCAGCTTCAATATACTTGACTTCCCTTGGTGCAGTTTGTTGTCGAAGAGGAACTGCAGACGTATCTGGTGGTGAACTTCATACTCAAATTTTATTCTAGTTATAACTTCTTTTTGTTATCAAATCACTTTTAGGTTTACTGTGTCTGTGCTACTTGATTTGTTTGTTTTAATACATTAGCTTACAATGGCAAGCTCAGTGCTTATAACCAGAGTCATAGTTGTTTGTCTTCACCGTGTTTCATTGCTTGCTTTTCCATTTTTATTCCCAAGGAGCAAAATAAAATTGTTAATTACCTCTGTCCCATTAGACATTGCCATGTTTGTGTTAGAGTGAAATAAGAAAAGTAAAAATTATGTGGTTGAAAGTTGTGTATAGGAGAGAGAAACAAGTAAAAAAAATATTTACTTTAAAAAGAAAGTCTTAAAGTGTTTGAGACGAACCAAAAAGGAAAGGTTGCAAAGTCTAATGGGACAAAGGGAGTATATTTTTTTCTTATTCGTTGTTATAGAAATTGAAGAAGTTTTTTTTTATGGTAAACAGAAGGAGGGGAGCAGAATGCGACAAAGGTAATTACTTGGAAGAGGACAACATCTTCAAGGTCATCTTCATCAAGGAACCCTCTGAATGGGAAAGATGAGAACGAGGATAGCGGGGGTGATTTTGTTGCAGAATTTTGCATGATTGCTGGAAGCCACTCTTCAACACTTGACAGAATATATGCATGGGAGAGGAAGCTTTATGATGAAGTGAAGGTACTTGCATATGAACCCCCCTTTCCATACATAAACACAATGCAATGATTTTCTATGTTTGAACTACCAAATATTGGGTCATCTGGGTCTTTGAGGTTGATTCTATATCTTAATTAAAGCTTAATGTGCTTGCTATAAAGGCTGAAAAGGATCTGATTCAACTGATTTTTAAAGAGGAACTGACTATATAAGTAGGAAAATACTTTAGATCTCAAGGCTTAAAAATTACATAAAGATGGGCTTACAGATTCTGATTAGGTACGTAGGTCTCTTAGATCTTCATAGACTATCTTCCAAAATCATCAACACATTAGGAAGTCAATAGTTTCAAACTTTAATTCTTTACCAATTCGAATAGTTCTTTAGGCCTCATTTACTTTCCTGAGCAAAGAGCCAGCACTTTCCTTCCTGAGCTTTATACTACTAAAAACTCATCCATGAAATTATTGAATAAATCTACAAATTTTCTGTTCTAATGGAGAATTCCCAAACATGAGCCAATATAACATTAAAAACCAATAATGTATTAGTATCTACATTAGAGAAGTTTCAAAGGCTTGAACTTAATTGAGATCTATAAAATTGATTATTGGCTCATGTTTCATTAAAATTCAGAATTTATTCCTATGCAAGACTTTATCTTTCTTACTCCATTAAGGATCAGCATGAATATTTTAATCATTAAATTGTAATTCTATAATTCTATCAGTGCATATATTGGGAATATTTCCATTTTCGCAGGCAATTGAATTAATCAGAAGGGAATATGACCGGAAGTGCACCCAGCTAAGACGCCAATTCGCCAAAGATCTTAGCTCCCAAGTGATAGACAAAACCCGTGCAGGGGTGAAAGATCTACATTCACGAATCAAGGTTGCATTTTATGCGGTTGACTCAATATCAAAGCGGATTGAGAAAATGAGGGATGAAGAACTGATGCCTCAACTTTTGGAACTTATTCAGGGGTAAGTTGGGATATATTATGTTTTATTTGAGTTAGGATCCGTTTGGCAAGGGTTATATTTTTTTGTGAAATGATTGACTATGACGAATGTTCTGAAAGGAGAAGCATTCATTTTCTAACATCCATTTCAGAAAATCAAAGCTCCTTGGGTAAGTTGAATGGCTGAATTTTGCTGAATTATCTAAACAAAGTACTCCCTCCGTATTTTAAAGTTTGCTACACTTTCCTTTTTTTGGATGTATTTAAAAGTTTGCTACACTTTCCCTTTTTGGTAAGTTTTTTCCTTTAAAAATACTCAATTACCCTTACTTTTTCTACTTTTTATCTTCTCTTTCATACTTTTTCACCTTCTCTCCTACTTTTTCTACATTATTCATTACCCCTATTATTTCTCTCTTAAATGTTGTGCCCAAACTTAATGTAGAGAACTTTGAAATACGGCGGGAGTATTTAAAATATATTATGGCATTAAATTAAAGAAAATGATTCAAAATTAAAGATCAAAATGTCATTTTCAGCTACTTCAGTCAAAAGAGTATTTCCTCTTTACCTTTGTTAAAGCTCATTCGGCATGTACCTTTGTTAATTACTAATATCTGTTCCAGCCAGTGCTTTGAAATTAGTGTTTTGTAAAAAATCTTACTGATTGGGGAGACAAGCCAAAATAAGGTGCTACCAAACATGCTCAGAAGCAGGGTCTTTGTTGATTCGACTTTGTTGGCTTTAGTTAGGTTGGTTTGGTTTTGATAAATGCAAAGTTGAAACCTGCACAGGTAAGATAAGCCGATTTTGGTCAGTTTTGGATAAGTTATGTTTGATCAACTTCAGCCGGTTTTAGGTAAAAAATAGTTAGGTTCAACCGGGTTTAGAGCATGACCTTAAACTATGAACAAACCACATATGATTAGGTTGGTTTTGATAACTTTCAGTTTTGTTTAGGTCATTTTTTATTGGTTCAATTTCGGTTTACGGGCTTTTTCGTTCAGTTTTAGTCAAAAGCTACTTATACTGCTTATAAGCTGCAAAAGATAGATATGGCTACCAAACAGAGTTTAACAAGCTTTTACGGGCGTAAGTGCAGGTTGATCAGAATGTGGAGGGCAATGCTTGAATGCCATCACACACAGTACATAACTCTCTCGCTAGCATACCATGCCAAGACTCACACTACAAGTAGTAATCCCCAAGGAGATGATCAGAAGAAGGAGATATTGGCTCAGCTAATGGATGAGGTGGAGTGCTTTGGGCTGAGTTTCACTGATTGGATAAACAGCCAGACATCATACGTGGAAGCTCTAAACAGCTGGCTGCAGAACTGCATCTTGCAACCCCCGGAGCGGAAGAGCAGAAGAGCTTTCTCCCCTCGTAGGGTCATTGCCCCACCCGTTTTCGTCCTTTGCCGTGATTGGTCAGTCGGGATTCAGTCTCTCCCTTCTCAAGAACTCAATGATGCCATTAGAGCGCTTCTGCACGACCTGCGTCACTCAGGCGAACAACAACATCAGCCAGATGAGGAGCCATTGTCATGTGATAAACAGGAAACAGTGGTGGGCGGTGGTGGAGCCGTGGAGAACCATGCGAGTTTGAACCGGGTTCATGCGAGTTTGACTGTGGTTCTGGACAGACTGAACCGGTTCTCTGAGGCGTCTCTGAAGATGTGTGAGGATATCAGACAGAAATGTGATTCAGCCAGGAATGCGTATGTTAACTATAGGCCTCCCCCAAGATCTTTTAGTATATGATGATATGAATGCAGTCGTCCTGTCAATTGGCTGGTGAACTTGTGAAATGATATGAATGTGAAAGACAGCCTTCGTTTGGTTTAGTGAGAAAAGATAGAGAAGAGAGAATATATTGTAGGTTTCGGGTGCCTTTTTTTATAAGAGAGAAACAAAGGAAAAAAAGAAGATAAAAAGGTTATGAAAGAGATGCATTTCTCTCTTATTTCTCCCAGTTTATTTCACTCCAACCAGACAAAGTGTTAAGACATCGTAGTCAAATTTAAAAATTAAAAGTCACCCACTATTAATTTTTAAGCTAAAATCTGGAATCTAAAATAATACTCCCTATTAGAGCAATTACACTCAAAGAAATTTGAATAAGACTTTTAATTGAGCACATCGACATAAACATTTGTCTTTACGAATGACTCAACATTGGTCATATACAAAGATACAAATTCACATACAAATTTTTATGTTATCTCACATTAGTAAGACTCACGAAATAGACACACACATTACACTTCAAACATGTGTTTAAAGTGTTGTTTCTAAACATATTATCCTCATGTATTAATTAAGCGACGGTTTAAACTTTTTCAATTTTCACATTTACCCTTAGCTTTACCTCTCACTCTTACCCTTCCCTTACCCCTTTCCCTTAGCCCCTACCCTTAGCGTTACCCCTACTTTTATCACGAACATTAATCCCTACTCACCCCTACCCAGACCTTAACCCTACCTTTACCCCAACCCCTACCCACCCCGTACCTCCTACCATGATCCTACCCTACCCGTACCCCGTTACCCCCTATCCCTACCCTGGCCCTATACCCCTACCCCCACTCCGAACGGACCCCCATACCCGTGCCCCTACGATTCGTCATTGACATTTTTTAATTTTGTTGCCATTTTTCATAGGGGGCCGCACCATATTATGGATCAATTTCACTTTGATACCATGTTAAGACTTTGAGTTCCATCACATAAAGTGGGGAGTAGCCCATAATCTTAATATAGTGTTTAATTGTTTTAAAATATCTGGTGTGGGACAAGGATAGACTGCTCCGCCTTTTGTTGTGGATGAACTAGAATTAGATTTACGAATGCGCAATTTTGAAAGCAACCGCAAGTAGGGGTGGCAGCGGGTCGGATTTTCACCGGGTGGAGGCTCATCCACGTCCACCCGTTAATTTTTTATACTCCACCCATCCGTCCATCATCCATTAAAAATTACATCCACATCCAACCCATCCATCTTGAACGGGTTATCGGGTGGATCGGGTGAGTAGCGGGTGAAATATAAATGGTCAAACTTGACACACAAAAAATAAATTACAAAGAGAAATCATGACAATTAAAAACCAAAAATTAAGAATTCATTATAAAATAACAAAAAAATGAGCAATTAACTATATTACAATCATTAATTCAGTGCCGATGATAAAGAAAGAACTGAATGTTAAATAAAATAGACATAAAACTTCTTCAAGTTGTTAAATTCTGCATTTATGCATCGACACAAAACTATTTTTGCTATTCAACTGCCACTTCTTGAAGCTCTCTAATCATCTTTGTTTCACCAATTAACTATTATTATTATTATTATTATTATTATTATTATTATTATTATTATTATTATTATTATTATTATTATTATTATTATTATTATTATTATTATTATTATTATTATTATTATTATTATTATTATTATTATTATTATTATTATTATTATTATTATTATTATTATTATTATTATTATTATTATTATTATTATTATTATTATTATTATTATTATTATTATTATTATTATTATTATTATTATTATTATTATTATTATTATTATTATTATTATTATTATTATTATTATTATTATTATTATTATTATTATTATTATTATTATTATTATTATTATTATTATTATTATTATTATTATTATTATTATTATTATTATTATTATTATTATTATTATTATTATTATTATTATTATTATTATTATTATTATTATTATTATTATTATTATTATTATTATTATTATTATTATTATTATTATTATTATTATTATTATTATTATTATTATTATTATTATTATTATTATTATTATTATTATTATTATTATTATTATTATTATTATTATTATTATTATTATTATTATTATTATTATTATTATTATTATTATTATTATTATTATTATTATTATTATTATTATTATTATTATTATTATTATTATTATTATTATTATTATTATTATTATTATTATTATTATTATTATTATTATTATTATTATTATTATTATAATTATTATTATTATTATTATTATTATTATTATTATTATTATTATTATTATTATTATTATTATTATTATTATTATTATTATTATTATTATTATTATTATTATTATTATTATTATTATTATTATTATTATTATTATTATTATTATTATTATTATTATTATTATTATTATTATTATTATTATTATTATTATTATTATTATTATTATTATTATTATTATTATTATTATTATTATTATTATTATTATTATTATTATTATTATTATTATTATTATTATTATTATTATTATTATTATTATTATTATTATTATTATTATTATTATTATTATTATTATTATTATTATTATTATTATTATTATTATTATTATTATTATATATTACTAAATAGATATAATATATATTATATATTACGGAGTATATATTTATATGCGGGTCAGCGGGGTGAGTGGATGGAACGGGTGACAGGTCGGGTGATGGGTTGGATGAGCCTTCATCCACACCCGATCCACCCCGTCTTTCGATCCACCCGTCATCCATTTTTCATCCATACTTCTTCGGGTTTTCGTCCATATTTTCGGTTCGGGTTGACCGGGTATCCGCGGGTGCGGGTGATATTGCCAGCCCTAACCGCAAGGGAGAACCGGAGAAGATGTAAACATCTAATTCTCAATTGAATACACGTATAAAGATGAAAAAAATACAAATATACCCTAAGATATATGTGAAGCTGCACATATGCCAATTAACTTTTAAAAGGTATAAAAATACCCATCGGGCACCCCTATTGGCTTTAAATAAATAAGATAAGTTCTAAAAAACACTGAAAATAAATTATAAATTAGAAATTTGAAATTGAAAAAATAAAAAAACAATTAAAATACTACTTCTCTCCAATCCCCCCTTTATTATTCTTCTATCACAATTTAATATTATTTGTATACAACTTTGTTTCAAAATTTTACTATATATTTATGAATCTTTCGGAAAAGTGTTAACATAGGCGCTGCAATGTAAAAAATTATTAATTTTTATGTATTCTTTTCACTATAAAAACAAAAATTACAAACTACTGAATATAATTTTATTAAGTTTTAACATTACCAAACAATGTTGTATCAAAAAATGTAATAATGTGTTCGAAAATTTGCAACAAGACTCAAATTAATATTTATGAATTTGAATTGCTTCATTTACAAGGGAAAAATAATATTTTTATAATTTTAAATTAAAGAGTTAATATTATAATATAAAATAAATCTTTTTTATTCTTTAATTTTTATTTTTCAATTTCGAGTTTTAAAATTATCATTTTTTATTATTTATTTTATTTATTTAAAGTCAATAAGGGTAAATTTGCTACTATATGGGAACATTAGGGGTATTTATACACTTTCTATATGTTGAGGGGAATATCCGCATCTCCACATATACTTCAGGCGTATATTTGAACCTTTCCCATTAAAATATACGTAGTACAAGATATTATAATACATATTTTGGTATATTCATAATTTACATGTGCATTAATGTAATTTCATATTATATGAGCATTTTCAGTTATTTTTGTCATACACATCTACTTCCTATAACTAACAGTTCATATTCAGCACTTTAAATTTCAGTTGCAGACTATAGTTTCTGATTCAGACAATAGCCTCTAGCTACACCTCATTGTGTCAAACATAGTGTTAGTGTTAGAGTCTCACTTTGAAAAATTGCAACTTAATAGAGTGATATATTAAGGTTTAGTCTATTCCTTCTATCAAGTTGACTTTTTATGATGATAAATTTAGGCCAAGTATAAACGAATAATTCTGAAGAAAATTGACTCCCTTGCCTTTCATTCACAAAGGTCGAAGTATATATACATAATTCCTGGAGCCCTACTATCTACGGCCCATATATCATAAAAGCTAGATAAGAGCTAATTACATCAACTAATTAATTACAAAATACACTAGGGCCCGTGTGGGTCCAACACCCCCCCCTCAAGTTGGAGCATGTAGGTCACAAATGCCCAACTTGCGAAGAAGAAAGTGAAACTGTCGTTGACCCAATGCTTTGGTGAAGATATCTGCCAGCTGTGTATGTGTGGAGACATGATGCGTAACGATCAGACCATCCTGTAGAGCATCCCGAACATAATGGCAATCAACTTCAATGTGCTTTGTGCGCTCATGAAACGCCGGGTTTTGTGCAATATGCAGAGCAGATTTACTATCACAGTAAAGTGACATAGGCGGAGAATGAGAAATCCCGAGGCTTAAGAGCAGTCCTTTTAGCCACTTAAGTTCAGCAGTGATAGACGCCATGGAACGGTACTCAGCTTCAGCAGACGATCTAGATACAGTGTGTTGTTTCTTTGTCTTCCAGGATACAGGGGAATTACCGAGAAATACCACCCAACCAGATAGTGATCGGCGTGTGAGTGGACAGCTAGCCCAGTCAAAATCACACCAGCCGGAAAGAAGCAAATTGCAAGAAGCAGGAAGAAGTATTCCTTGGCCCGGACATCCCTTACGATAACGAACCACCCGGAGTGCTGCATGCCAATGATCCTGTCGTGGAGTCTGCATAAATTGAGAGAGAATGTGAACTGCATATGCCACATCAGGTCGAGTGAAAGATAGATAAATGAGTCTCCCAACTAGACGCCGATATGGCTCAGGATCAGTGAGGAAGTCTCCATCAGCAAGTGCCAGACCATGGTGCTGCTCCATGGGAGAGGCCGCCGGTTTAGCAGCTAGCAGACCTGTCTCAGAAATAATGTCAAGAGTATACTTGCGCTGACAAAGATAAATCCCATCAGCACTGCGTGCTACCTCAATACCAAGAAAATATTTGAGAATGCCCAAATCTTTCATATGAAAGCAAGTATGTAAATAATTCTTGAAATCGGAGATAGTCGTGGAATCATTGCCT